CCCCCCCCCCCCCCCCCCCACCCCCAAAAAAAAAAAGAAACATTGCATACACAAAATAAATCATGAAACCATTATGCATAAATTTTAAACACTTTTCTCCCCTCTTTTGTTATTAGCAAAAGATTAAACACCAATGGTTAAGCTTTATACTCAAAAAATTAAGCTAAAATATCATCCATAGGTGTAAGGAAGAGAAAATCATACTGGTTCACAAAGATATTCATAGAAAAACAGCATAAATGATGCAAATATAACTTCAAAACACACGAAACTGTACAAATATTATATTAAGAATCACACACAAACTAGTAACATATCATAGAAAAGTCTGTGAAATAAATAATAAAAGAAATTACATTAGTTCATAAGATAAACTCAGATATATCGTAATCATTGGCAAGTTTTTCATCTTTTGATAATAACAAATGGGGAGAAGATTTTGTGAAATTTGAAAATTTTCTTTTCTTTGCATGAGTAGAGTTTTTCAACTAAGTGTTTTTTAAGTAATTTCATGTTTTGATTTGCTTTTGAAGATTTTGGACACACTCGATACATTATTTTAGGGGGAGTTATTACAATATTTGTACATGTTTTTACTTTTCATGAATGCATGAATGTAGGGGTTGTTGTGCGCACTTGACATCGCGGTCGACCGTAAAAAGATCCAGAACCTACCTGTAGTGTATACATTTTTGGTCGACCGCACTTGACATCGCGATCGACCGTAAAAAGATCCAGAACCTACCCTATAGTGTATACGTTTCTGGTCGACCGTACATGTTGTCGTGGTGACCGGCCAAAGCTTAAACTGATTCCTGTTTCGTTTTTCCTAAACTTTGTCGTCGTTTTTGTTGTTTCTATAATTTTTCACCTCGATGAAATTTTCCCAAAACTGAACTGACATCAATATCAACCAAGCGACCCACTTGTTGTGTCTAGTACGAAGTGGAATCAATCTATGATAACGAACTCAATCCACAACGTATCAGCTGGTTCATAACATCATAGATCAAATTCGGCGTCAAGCATGACCTAATAACCCCACATGCTCTACTGTTAACCTTCTTCCAAACCTTTTCCTTCATATCAGCTAGTTTTTTTTTGTAATTCAAGAGTCTTCTCTAATTTATGGGCATCCAACGCATCCATCACCTGACACCTCCACAAACCGAAGTTTATCTTGCTAACAAACTTTTGAATATCAATTTTAGTGTTATTGATGTTTGGTTCAGAAATTGCCATTTTCATCATCTTGAATCTATTACAACTTCAGTCGTTATAATAAACTCAAATAAATAAAAAGTTGATCTTTTTATAAGATCTCCTTACACAATGAAAATATAGAGATTACAATTCCTTCAAACAACACACAACAACAGTTTATCTTCTGTTGCTTGCGTGAGATCTTTGTCTGTGCCAGAGTTTATCCGTGGACCGCCTACAGATCGGATTCGGTTAATAGAATTATTGATCAAAGCTCTTACTTCACGAAGGAAGCAATTGTTGAAGTGATAATCTCAACCAAGTGAGATTACGACTCTTCTCGAGATCAAAATCAAGTTTGATCTGGAGGAAAGGGAAACGGGCCTCAGATCTCTTGAACTCTCCTTGTTTATGCCGAATAACTTGCTAAGATCTTCTAGCCTCTCTGAAATTCGTCAGAACCTTACCCTAGCTCCTCTAAAATTAATGGCTCCCTTCAGATCTCCTCTTATGAGGGTGCTAGGGGTGTATTTATAGGCTTTAAATATCGTGTTTGTGGATAGAAATATTGTGTTTGTGGATAGGGTCGGAAAACAACTGTTATTATCCGTTTAGGTGGGTTTTTTGTTGTGTAACAACTTCCACACATTTAAGGATAACCCCACATACTTATGGATGACCCCAAGGAATTCTAGAAGCCAATCTAATTAGAAAACATGTCAGGAGCTGACCTGGGCGTGAGTCACTTTGACCGTCTCGCACATGTCCGAGATAGCTTGTATTATCTCAGGTATTTTGGTCTTAACTCTTTCATCCAACCTCAAAATGAGATGATTAAAGATGCATTGGAAATCTTACAAATATAACTACAACTTTTATCTTTTTAGATTCTTTAGATTATAACCATATCATGGCCAAAATGTGTAAGACACAATAGGTATCTCGCAGGTGCGAAATAGTCTGGATTGTCTCGAGTGTTTTGGCTCTAACTCTCTCGTCCGACCTCAGAATAAGGTGATTCAAAGTACATAGGAAATCCGGAGACGAGATCTACAACCTCCCATAAGTGAATTATATATGGAGTGGACAATACATGAGTATTACTTTGTCTTTTGTGAGTGAAACGTAATTCCCGATCGGATCGTTTCTTCGTCATTCTGTCCTCTCATTGGTTCGTACGCTTCGTCGACTCACTTCATTCTCTTGTCATCGTTAGATAATCCTCATTAACTTGGATAATGATATTTATCATCTTTTCTCTATCTCGAGCTACGTGTGGGAACACATAGGCAATTTTTGACGCCTACAGATACCCCTCCAAAGTGTTTCAGTCACGTTTCTTTTATAGAAGAGCCTAAAATACTTTGGATGTGATAGACCTCACTTTTAATCAGTGTAAAAGGACTTGTAATTGGCTGCAGTTCTTGATTTCTTTAATTCTCAGTCTATTTAGTATTTTGTCAAATAGTTGAGATTCTACGAGTACTGCGTTTATCGTCTGACCGTTGTTGAAGCCTCAAACTGAAACTGGTGTATTGGTTTCTGATCTTAGCTCATGTCGTTGAGTTGACATTGAACTGACTATCTTCGTTGGGGATTCATATCTGAATTACGATTGAACTCCATAGGATCATCCTTTGACCTGAAATTAATCAGAGTCTTGTTTCGACTAAAAATTATCGACGCATTAACCTTCATCACAATGTGTTGACTGGCATTGACTTTTCCTCGTAACGTTTTGACCAGCATTGACCTTCATTGTGATGTGTTGACAGGCGTAAATATTGAGGCTACAGAACCAATTATTGAGGCTTGGTTCTTCTGCAGGTATGGATTTTACCCTTACATCCCATTAGTTATTTATTTAACCACAGGAGAATTTTGGTTGTAGGATCAGCTTTTGGAGCTAATACGGCTATCATTGCAAATGCTTTCAAAGTTCCTCATGGAGACTTCGGCTGTAATTGATGTTTTCTCAGGTGCTCAAGTCACGAGACCAACTGATGAAGCTGGTGCGTCAATGACTATCGGACTTATAGGATTTTTGGTAAATCTTCAGCCATCAACGGATTTGATAAACCTTTACCGACTACTGTTTGAGTCGGGCTAGCATGCAGATTATCTAAGTCCGTTCCGCATGTAACGTTGTGCTAAAAGAGTTAACTCTTTTAGACTTAGTGCTATGATATTGAATACATAGACTTCGCCATTGTTATGGGAATAGGCTATGTGACAACACATATTGGGCGTAGACTTAAATGAACCTTTGATCTCGGGTTATCCTTAAGAATATTATGTGTAATATTCTCTAGGAACTTCCCGCTGGAAATAAGGAAAACAGTTTAGACTCGTATACCCATTAGAGTATCACAGAGAAGCAGTTTAACCTCTTATACTCATTGGAGGATGGGAGCAGTTTAACCTCATATACCTATCAGAGGAAGCCGTTCTCATTCG